GGCAGGCTGTGCTCCCAGAGCTGCCCTCGCCAGCAGGCTGTGGGGCAGAAGCGGACAGTCACGTAGCTTATCACTGCTGGGGAGCCTGGAGCTCCCCTCTCGGGAGGCCCCTCAGCAGTCACCTTCAGTGACTGACTTTCTTTGGCCACTTGCCTTCGGAACAAGCCCCCATGCCCCAGAGAGGAGGTGGCAGCAGCCCTGAGACGGTGAGGGGGGCTCTGCTAGCATCACCTCCCGTCCTCCCCAGCACACAAGCTGCTTCTTTTATAAACGCTCCCGACAGCAGTACGCACAGAGCTGAGCCAAAGGTCACAGCACTGCCAAGCAGGCAGGGAGGGGAGCCACCTCCTTACCCTGCCCTACGCTAACTAAGCACTCTCCCATCCCCGAGAGCAGGGGAGCGTTGCCTCCCCTGGTGTGGTTTCATTAGGAGTCATTGGGAAGCCCGAAGAGCTTGACGGTGCCTGCCTCCCGGCTGCTGTCGTATTTGCCATCTTTGTCATCGCAAGCGAAGGCCAGCAGTGGCCTCTTCGGGTGCCAGGCCACTGTGAAGGTGGGGGACTCGCACTGCACCTCCCAGAGCTTCTCTCCTGCATGGAAAAGGAGCCATGTCAGCCTGGAGAGCCTCGGCCCTCCGCTGCACACTGCTCCGCAGTGCATGTCAGAGCCAAACGCCCGCTGCTTCTCTCCCGCGCAGGGCAGAGGAGGAACAAACACTGCTTCAGCGCCTTCTAATCACCTGGTGACAAGGCACAGACATGACAGGCATGTCTGCCACAGACTAACGAGGCAGAGGCTCCCCCTCACGGTGCTCTGCTCTGCACAGCCAATCTCTTCCTTCACAGACCCATACTCCCAGTGCCCTCCCAGCTCCACCAGCACTTCTCCATCCAATTCCCTCCTTGCTATTCCCCAAAAAGAAACTGTTACCTGTCTCCACCTCTGCAATATCAATGAAGTGATCTTCCGATGCTGATGCCAGCATCTTCCCATCATGGCTAAAGCTCAGTGTTCGCACGGGCCAGTCAAGCCTGCAGCAACAGATCAAAGCCTACAGTGAGCCATCTCCCACACCGTCACCGGAGAGGGGAGGCAAACGGTTTCGGGACAGCACTACCTACCTTGAGAAGCACCTCACACACACCAGTTCATCCACATCCCAGAGACTGACCAACGCATCAGCACTGCCTGTGGCAAAGTACTTCCCCATGGGATCAAACTTGATGCAGATGCAGTTTGAAGGATGAGCGTTGATGGACTGAATGGGCTTCAGCTCCGGGTAGCTGCGGAGATGAAGGGAGAGGGCAGGAAACAGTGAGAGGAGCGCAGGGCTCGTCTACAAGCAGGGCAGGCTAGGGACTGGGACTGTAGCAAAGAAAGCTGGTGCAGGGCCACGCTCTTGGAAACCTCGAGTGCTGAGTGAATGAGGCAAAGCATCAGGGTCACTCTCGGGGAGCCCAGCCCAGAACTGGGGCAACCTCAGCTCCAGGCAAGTTCGTTCCCACCAGAGGGCTGGGAATCACTGGGATGTGGGACTCAGGTTCCCCAAAAGCAGCAAAGGGGCTTGCAGACTGACGTCTGCTGCAGCCAGCCCAGCTACCCTGCCCACACACTGCCATGGGCACCTACCTGAGGATGTTGATGCAGCCATTCCCATTAGTGAGGAAGAACATGTTGTTATCGTTGTTCCAGGAGATCTCATTCACCTCAAACTTGAACTGTTCCTCCGCTTTGGAGCGATGCGTCTTGGCATCAATGAAAGTGACCACATCATCCTTGTTCCCCACTGCAATCGTCTGTCCATCAGGGCTCCAACAGATGTTGATGTTTTCCCCTGGAGGGACAGAAAGGCAGCAGGTCCCATTTCCACCCAACAATCCACAGCAGCCACAAGTTAAGCAGACAGGCAGCTTTTATTCCTGATCCAAGGCCACAATCTGCTCCACTAACTCCAAACCATTCCCAAATGGGAAAGACTGCCAGGTCTGCAGTCTAACACACAAACCCTATACAGTAGCTGTCCAGCAAATACATAGTTACTGAAAATGAAACTTAACAGAACCACAGCTTCAAGCCAACATGATTAAATCACCACCCTTTCCATCTTGGCCAAAATGGGACCACAGCAACCACCAAACAAGGTCAGCTCAAAGATTCTCTTAACCCAGTGATCTTTGAGATCCACAAAAAGCAGAAGCCAACAATAAATACATATGAACAACAGTTAAGAACAAGGCAGGTTTCTGTTTGCCATCTTACAATGCCATTTCCAGCCCCAATAATACAAAATTGGAGATTTCCAAGGGCAGAGATGGTTATCTGGGTTAACCAGCCCATGAATTTGAATAATCAGTTTCTGAATCCACACAAACTTTTAATTCCACCATGGCTCTCTGCAAACATGCCTTTCCCCAGTCTCCAGCCTTGCAGCCCACAGACTCCAAACACAAGTACACAGGACATTTTAATAGCAAGCATCGTATTTCAGCAGTTTCTCCAGTCCTGACAACAGAGTAAATGAGCCCTTGCGTTCGCTGCTGCTCCTTACAGATGAGTGCAACACAACAATAAAAGCAGTCAGCAAAGATGCTCCGATCGCTGACACCTACAAGAAGGGTCCAAAGCACTGTGCCACTGCAGACAGGTCCCATGCAGCAGAAGTTCTGCTGGGACCCAAAAGCCCTCCCAGGAAGGCAGGGACTCACCTTTGGTATTGACAGTAGCAATGCACTTGGTGGTGCGGACGTCCCAGATGCGGATGGTTTTGTCCCCAGATGCCGTGACGAAGAGGTCAGGGTTGCTGGGGTGCCAACAGAGCTGATCCACGCTGTCCCCATGGCCCCGGTAGTTGTTCTCCTTCACCTGGAGGGAGAGGGCAGCCATTCACGGGAGGGATGAGCCCAGCTCTATCCCGCTCCTGCCCCGGATCCCAGTATGCTGCCCCCCTCTCCGCTGCCGGTGACCAGACAGGACAGGAGCCCAGCCCAGCACCCCACCGCCATTTCAGTCATGGTCCTCACCCACGGGATGGAGGAGCCCTCCCCACCTCCCCAGCCAGGCACCAACGCCGGTCCCGGCTCCCTGGGCCCAGCACCGGCCTGTGGGGTCCCTGGCGACGCTTCTCGTCCCGGTACAGCCCCGAGTCCCCGCTTCCAGGCCTGGCACCGACCGCCGGGGCCC